AGAGAGAGAGAGAGAGAGAGAGAGAGAGAGAGAGAGAGAGAGAGAGAATGAGAATGAATGTGTTTTCCTCTCTCCTATTTGGTTAAGAAATCCTTAACAGGAGGGACCATTTCTTTAATATCACCATACCTTCTATCCCCCTAACACAAGCCTGTGTATTCAGTACGTATCCAGCAAATGTTTGTAAAGTTCCTATCCCACTCTAGTCCAAACCCTTGTCTTCTCCCTTCCGCACTGTTAGTGGTAGCCACCATTTCCCTGCCTTTTTCCTCTCTCTCCCCTTTCTCTAAATAAGAATAGCAAGCATCTGTATGGAACATTATGATTTGTCTACCTTACCTGATGGCTGCCATCTTAGGGGAGAATGTCAGGGCGGGAGATGATCCTGTAAACATCTTTTCATAAAAAGCACCATTTTAACCCTTCTCATTTCCCACTAATGGCAGCACCTTCTAAGAGTCGTTGGTTCGAGGATTTCCTGGAGTGACCCTTCTCTTTGCTTGAACAGACAGCTGGAAGCAATCATGCCCCCCTCTCAATTAATTCAGTCCAATTAATAAATTGCCAAGTAGGGGTGGTGCCAGGGAGATGATGCTTGGAGATTTCCGACCCTCCCGTTGGAGGACCCTTGAAATCAGGATTGATGGCAGGTCTTCGGCATAAAGCCCGACATACTTTGTCCCCAGCTGGGCAGGAACTGAATGGCTGGCTGCTTCATTCTGGGTCACTGCTGGCCTCAGACTGGCCTTGTCGAGATGGCTGACCCTGTTACAGAATAATAACTGTTATTATTTCATAAATGAGTTTTTATCGCTGTCTCTTGTCTTTATATCAATTTCATTTCCAAATATATTCCTCCCCTCTCCCCTACTTAGTGAGCCATTTCTTGTAACTAAGAATAATAATAAAAGAAAGGGATTTAAAAAAATCAGGTCACCAAAACTAATCAATGCAGCCACCATATCTGACACTTTATGCAATGTCCCATCCTCACCATCCCCCACCTCTCAATGAAGGGAGGGAGGTGGATTTTCTCATCTATTTTTATAAAACTTGTTGGTTCATTATAATTTCCTGGTGTTTATATAAGTGACATTTATATGTACGTTATACTTTAACATTTGCAAAGCACCTTATATAGGTTATCTCAGTAGAGACTTGTGACAGTCCTTCGAGGATTCTGCTGTTACAGCCATTTTAAAGATGGTGACATTCAAATCAACAAGACTTCTTAAGCCCTTCCTATGAGTTAGTCACCTGCCTTAAGGAGCTCATGTTCTAAAACTAGGTGAATACAAGATGTATACAGAGTGGCCAAAAGGTGTTCTGCGAGGGGCAGCCGTTGGGGGTCTGCAGGGGCTGTAGGAGATGAGATTGGAGCTGCCTCTTGAAGGAAGTCAGGGAGGTGAAGGGGTGGAGGTGGCAGGTGATGAGTGTGAAGGCCTGGGTCTGCTGTGTGACCAACTTCCCCCTGACCTGTTTGTGGGAGAAGCCAGGGGTTATTCAGAGAATGCCTGGACATTTCTAAAAGCCATCCAGTACCCCTTTCTTCCCTTTGTCCATCCTGGGTCCGGCTAATCATCCAGCTGGCAGTGTCTGTCTCAGAACCAGGTCTGGGGTAGCTGCTGTCCAGTCACCGACGCTCTGTACGACAGGCATCGTCCCACGACTTTTTTCCTTCTCCTCAGTGTAGCTCATTTGACCCAAGACTTTGAGGAATCATGGTTCTCACATAGGAGGCTCTGTGCTCCTTAGAAGCCTACGTACGGACAGGAAAGTGTGGGCCGAAGGCCTGGACTGGATGGGCCTCCGGACATGCATCTCACCCGCTTGGCCTTTGTTACTCTTTTGACTGTTCTTTTTTTTTTTAAATTTAAATTTTTTTGTTTTTTGGTGAGGCAGTCGGGGTTACATGATTTTCCCAAGGTCACACAGCTAGTAAGTGTCAAATGTCTGAGGCTGAATTTGAACTCAGGTCCTCCTGACTCCAAAGCCAGAGCTTTATCCGCTGTGCCACCTAGCTGCCCCTCTTTTGACTGTTCTTGTTGAGACAATCACCAGTGAGAGCATAGTCCTCAGAGTAGCACAGACAGGTGTTTTCTGGGCAGTACCTTTGTGCCATGAACATCAGTTCCAGGTGGGCACTCTTCTTTTGTTTACGGCAAAGGTAGCTTTATCAGTGTGAAGAAAACATGTTAGGAGAGATGGTAAAAGGAATCTGTCTCCTCTTTCTCTGTGGCGCCTTCCCCGGCTCCCCATTTGCTTCAGGATAACATACAGGTTAAATCCCTTTATAATCTGGTTCTAGACTAGCTTTCTAGACTGATTTCACATTGCTCCCCTTTGCACAGTCTTTGTTCCGGGTCAAATCCCCCCCTTCCCCCATTTCATTCTTCTTTATACACAAGATGGCATTTCCTGTTCCCTATTTTCACAGGCTGTGCCCCATGAATGGATGGTGCTCCCCCTTCACCTTTGCCTCCTAGGTGTTTGGCTCAGCCCAAGTACCTCCTCGTCTGGGAGACATCTGTCGTGACCCTGCAGTGTGGTAGTAATTTCTTCTTCCTCGTGTTGTAACTTATCTGTATTCATACAGGATGGAATTTTTGGAGCGTTGCAATAAATCTCTCTGTCTCCTCTCTCTCTCTCTCTCTCTCAATGTATACACACACTTCTATCTATATACAGAAATAAGTAAATAAATGTGTATGTGTTTGTGTGTCTATATATCTCTCCATATATGTATATGAAGTCATGTATATATAGAGAGATATATGCATATAAGAGAGCGAGAGAGAAGGAAGAAGAGAAAGAAAAAGATACATACATACATACATACATGCATATAGAGATTGGTACAGGTGTGGGTACCAAACACAATCCCTTGCCCAGAGTTGTTGCTGCTTTTTAAATGCTCTTTGGTTGGATCCTTTCAAACGTGACCATGTTTGTTCTCTTCCCTTCAGTACTCCATCATGTCTCACCCTTCGTGGCTGCCCCCCAAGAGCACCAGTGAATCCCTTGGTCATGCCCCTGCTCGGATGGAGACAACACACTCATTTGGGACGCCCAGTATCTCTGTGTCCATGCAGCAGACACCCAAGAAGTTTGCTCCAGTGGTCGCCCCCAAGCCCAAATACAATCCCTACAAGCCGCCTGGGGCTGAAGGTAAGAAGTGGGGTTTGCCTTCGGCACCCCTGAAAGGAGGCAGTGGAGGTCTGTGTGACATGTGGTGGTGTGTGCTGGATGGCAATGGACTCCTTTGTGAGGCAGTGTGGTACAGTGATTAGAATAAAACTTAGTTTTCCAGTGCACTTTTGACATTTGCATTTGATTTAGTACATTTGTGGTGATGGCAAGTCATTGAGCTGTTCGCGAGGTTCAGTTTCCTTACGTGAATAAAGGAAATAATAATAGCAGTGGCCCCCACCTGACAGGGGCATTTTGAGGATGAAAGCTCCATGGGGGCTGGGTTGTTCCACCTTGTTTTGAACTCTCTGTGCTGCTGACCTATAGTCAGGGCTCAATAAAGACTTGGTAAATTAACTTGAGGATGACATGAGATAAGCTCTGTCAAATGCTTTGTGACTAGAGAGGGCCACAGCAGTGTCCACTGCGGTGATCTGGCCATTTCTACTTCCACAGGTCCTCAAGTGTCCTTGAGTCCTAGCATGGCATTCCTCTTCCAGACTCATGTCCCCATCCCCTCATTTGGACTTTAACCATACATATGCAGAAATGACTCTTTTTGGATGGGCGTGGGTGAGTAGATGATTAAGAGGCCTGTCAGAAGATCAGAGCGGAAGTCCCTACTCATTCAGCTATGTGATGTTGGCCAATCATGTCACTTCTTTATCCTTCGGTATCTTCATCTATAAAACGGGCTAGTAGACTCAGTGATTTCTAAGTTCTCTCCCAGCCTGGAATTCTTTGATTTTGTAAGTCTCCGTCCCCAGCTAAGACTCAATTTCTTCATTTGTAAATTGGAGTTGGCAATTATTTACTCATCTGCTTCAGGAGAACTCTCCTCTCCCTGTCTTCTGCCTACCGCTAGACCTAGCTGCTTCTACTGTTTTCTTTACACACACACACACACACCCCTTATCTAAGAAGCCCACAGTTAATTTTCCAGTGACTAACCACTCCCTTCCCTACACATAAAACAAAACCTTCTCTTGCTACAAATCAATCTGATAAAGTCAAACAAATCAGTACATTGGCTGTGTCTGAAGATGACTCCACATTCCACATTGGGTGTCTACCATCTCTTGACTGATGGGTGAGAGGCCTGTTTCACTCTTAATTCTCTCAGGTCCCCACTGCTCACTGCACTAATGAAGAGTTCTGAAGCCTTCAGCACAGTGTACCTTTATATTTTTTCATAGTAATACATAATCATGGTTTTACTTCTACTTACTTCACTTCAGCATTTTATACAATTCTTCCACAGTTTTGTTTTTCCTGAAATCCCATTTTTATAGCCCAATATTATATTTCATTTATAAACCACAATGTAGTCATTTGAAATTTATTGTGGAATGTGGGATATGGTATAAGGTATTAGTCTAAATCTAACTTAGGCAAAACTGCTTTCCAATTTTCCCAACATTTTTGAATAATAATAGCTATTACTTTGATCACACATTAAAATTTTTAAAGTCCATTATAAATATCTCATTTTTTACCTCACAGCAATCTTGGGATTCATTGACTTTTTTTTTCTTCTTCTTTTATTCAGAACTAAATATTTTTGAACATTACTTGTTTCTTGTACGGTTTGAAATCTGGCTGTGCTGGGCCCCTTGAATTCCTCTTATTTATTTATTTATTTATTTATTCATTCATTCATTCATTCATTCATTCATTCATTCATTTATTTATTTAAAATTTGTTCCCTTGACATTCTTTACCTTTTGGTCTCCCAGATGATTTTAGTTATTATTTTATCCAGCTCAATATAGTGACCCTTGGATGTCGGATTGAAATGGCACCAACTCTGTGGATTAATTAAGCTAGTTTCATCATTTCCATTATTTTAACTTGGCTCCAGCTGTGAACTTTGAGTAGCTTTCTGTTTGTCTTCCTTTTCTTCTATTAAAAATGTTTTATAGTTGGATTCATATTAGTCCTGAGTGAATCTTGGTTGGCTGACTCCTAGAGATTTTAGACATTTTGGTTTTATTTTTAATGAAATTTCTTTTTCTGTGTTCTCTTGCTGGGTTTTGTTAGTAATATACATGAAGTTTGATGACTCTTATGGGTTGATTTCATATTCTGCTACTTTCTGAAGTTACTGTTTTTTGTTTTTGGTTTTTTCTTTTGTCTGTTTTTTACCTTCACTGTCTTGAATACTACATTAAGCAAACCATCATGTCATCAGCAAATAATAAAAAAAAAGTTCTATAAATCCTTTTTCTGTACTTTTCAAAAGGAAATACTTATATTTTAGGATTTTTGCTTCCTTCCATGGAAGAATCCATAAGATCTATACAGATCTATAAGCCCAAGCCAGACCAGGGGGTTATGGGTTGAGATTTAATTTGTGCTTTGACTCCCAGATGATGCCATCCTTAATCCTGAGTCCACCAAGGAAGGGCAGTCTCTTTTGTTTCCCTCCCTGAGACTTCTTTGCTATAAGTATAGGTAAGAAGAAGCCTTTAAAGACGTGTCCTCCTTTGGTTTCCAGGCCTCCCCTTTCTCTCTCTCCTCTCACCCCTTAAGGCTCTCTTGCAATGAGAACTCCTACAGAGGAGCTCATCATCCCAGCGAGGCCAGTTCCCCAGATGCTCTAGCGATTCGATGGTGGTGCCAGCAGTTTACAGGGATTTGAGTTTGAGGGTCTCTGTGCACTTCAGCATTAGACAACTCCCCCCCCCACTCACCCCAATCATGTCCCTCACTCCCATGTCCACCCTGCCTAGGACACAAAACAGGCTGAGGTATTGGACCGCCCAGCTGCCGCCTGCCCGCCAGTCGGTGTCAGCCTCTCCGCCAGAACCTTGGTACTGCGGCGTCTAATATCTGAGCATCAGAACATGAGACTTCTGGGATCCGGGAGGGAAGGGACAGTCAACGATTCTGTAGCCCATCACACTCCGTTCCCTTTTTATTGACTCATTCCCTCCACGAGTCCCTCTAATTGTTTCTCCAATGACCTCAGTGTTGTTGTTGTGGCAATCTCGCCTGAGAGACCGTTCGGCGCATTTATGGCTCTCGGTGTGGAGCAGAGCTCTTAGTCATCTCTCTTGAATGTGTTTTCTCAATCTCATTTATCCCCCTTTCCTCCTTGGGCTCAGCCCAGTGGCGAGCTCGGGAGCTGTGCTGGCCGGTTACTCTGTGATGGATTTCAGACCGAGCTCCTTCCCGGCAGTAAACTCTTTATGAGTTTGTTTGTTTTGAAGGCTGATGTCATGGGCCCAGTGCCCAGCTTCCGAGGCAGGCTTCTGGAGCTTGTCTGGGGACTGAAGCAGTTGGGGACTGGAGAAATGGGACTCGGGGCACCCAAGAGTAACAGTGAGCTGGCATCCTTGGGCTTCGGCATGGCGACGTCCCATTTCCTCAGGGCCAATGGCCAGAACATCCCGGAATGTCTCTGAGAAAAGAACTAATAAGCTTCTGGTAGCTCTCCCACTTTGCTGATGGTGTCCTTTCTAAGCTCTGGTGTGGCCGTGACCTGATTGGTTCTTAAAGAGACCCCACCTGCAGGATTAGTCCAAGTTTTCCTGAAGCCTTTTCCTTTCCATCATTGGTATAGAGAAAAGGGGTCATGAGAATCATCCTCATCCAGAAAAGGAGAGGGAGCCCAGAGGCACATTCCTTCTCATTTTTGCTCTTTGGGGTATACTTCCAGGTTTCTCCTCTTGGGGTACCATAGCCCCATGTTTCAGTTGGCTGCAGGATGCCATTGTGGGATTGTGGCGCTGAGAAGCTAGTCAAGAGAAATATCACGTGTGTACCAGGATTTTGTAAACCTTAGCCCAGTGGCTAACATATAATAAGTGTGTAGTCAATGTCTGGAGACTATGATGCCAGTGGCGATGATGGTGATGAGCTGAAGGAGAAGAATTATGGGAGATGAGAGTGCTATTTCTTTCATTTCTAACTCACAAGGTTTTATTTTAATTTTTTTTATATTATCAAGTATTTTTCTTCCCCCTCCCACCCCCACTCTCCCCAAAGGGTGGGGGAAAGAAGAACAAAACTCATAGCTCTTGTAAGAAATATCTTACTTCTTTTAAATATATTGGGGCAGGAATGGATAGTCTAGGCAGCTTGGTGGTACAGTGGTTAGATCTCTGGATTTGGAATAAGGAAGACCTGAGTTCTAATCCTTCTGACACTTACAAGCCTCCTGACCTTGGGTAAGTCACTTAACCAAACTCAGCTTTTTTTTTTTTTTTCCATATGTAAAAGGGGGATAATATAGCACCTGCCTCACAGGATTCAGAAGCATATGTAAAGTGCTTTGCAAACAGTAAAGCACTATATAAATATTAGCTATTAATATTCAGGGTAAAATGTGAGTTTTATCTTTTGGAATGGCTTTGTACTTCACACTTTCTTTGGAGACTTTAATTCAGTGAGTATTTATCGGATATCTGACACCTACTATTTGCTAGCACCTGTGCTGGGGGCTATGGCAGTTGATTTGTAAACATTTAAAGCACCTACTATGTGCCAAACAGTGAATGAAGTGCCAGGGATACAAATAAAGACAAGAGATTGCTCCTTCGAGCTAGGGGCTCACACTTAATTGCAGAGACACCTGTGGGCATAAAACACAGAATAGAATCAGTCTGTGCCCTTCAGAATTTTGCATTCCTTTGGGGAAAAACAGGAATGCATAGAAGTAAACAGAAAATAAGAACAAAGTAATTAGGCCCTGGCAACTGAGTGAATAAAGAAAGCTCTAGTGGAATGGTGTTTGGGCAGGGTGTTGAAGGAAGCGAAGAGCCCTGGGAATTGAGTCCATGGGAAGAGGGAGAACATTCCAGGCATGGGGGACAGCCTTTGGGAGCTAACTTTTGTCCATACCAACCTTGTTGAATACCCTGCGGAACCCACCAGTCTAACTCAAAGACACTGATTTCTGTACGGTTACCTCTTGGGGCTCAGTGGTTACATGTGAAAGACCCTAAGTCCATCATTGGCCTCTGAGGATACAGCTT